TGTCTCGACAACATAAGCTCATACATAAGGACGAGACGAGTTGCTCCGATAATAAATATTTTTTCACTTTTGATCTTTAATATCGTAAGTTTAAATTATCAAAGGAGCCAAAAAGGTTGAAGCTACTAGGCGGGGATTAAATAAAAAAAAACTCACACTTAAGTGTCAAATAATCATATTATTCTTTTGTGATAATATACAACTTATACAATTTATCTTTGTCCTGTTTCACCGCAATTACGCTACAATCTCTTACCCTCTTCATCCTTACTTTTTATAATATTTGTCTGCAAATGTTTTTAAGATAATATTTATTACTATACAGAATATAAAAGGACAAGTCATACTAGGAGTTGAACTAATGATTTAAAACAGTTTTAAATAATTTCTACCACTTTATTATTACAATTTTCTTATTTTAGGATAATTTAACAAGTTACATATAATTAAAAGTAGAAATACACGGTATAATTTTCTTTAATAAAAGTGTTACATGTCCAGAACAATGTCATTTTCGAAAAATGAACAATTGGTGACTTGTTCCATCTAAAATGGTATATACAGTATTAGTTTTTGTAGTATTTTGATTTGTCAAAGTCAGTAAATCTGCACCGATATTTTTTATATTCATATTTGATAAATGCAGTACAATCCAAGCCATAAGTGTAAGGGTAATACCGTAATAAAAGTCCATTTGACAAAATCACTGTCAAAGAAGATCTTTCTAGTCCTCAAAATAAAATGCGTCCGTCCGCTTATAAATTGAATAATAATAAATAAAATCAAATTTCTTAGGTATAAAATCAAAAAAATCATATAAAAACTAAAAAATATATGTGTAAATGACTTACACTTTATTACATCACACGAAGAAATTAAAAAAAAATTGGTACGTATGCATTTTCATTAATTTTAATTTTAGAGGGGTAATTAGTTACAAATTGAGGTAAATTAGGTTAATTTTATTTTTCTTTCTTTGACTAAAAAGAATTACAATGAATTTTAAAGATTTTCGAAATTTGCTGCTTTCATATTTCATCAACAATTTGTTAGGACATTATGTGTACATGAAATATTTATTATTATAAATAGGTGTGAGTAAACATCAATAGATATTTCTTACAATGCATTTAACATATGCAAATTGATTATTACTTTCTTCATTTCAATTTATATGCTACTTTTTTCTATAGCCATTGAAATTTCCAAGATTTACTCTATGTTTTTAGAAGTCTCTTTTTAAATTTATAATTTATGTATAATTAAATAATATCACATAAATTGAGTATAACTAACTCACAGATTTGTTGCTTAATGTACATTGAAAATAATGGTGTTTGAGGTGTGTAAATATTTTCCAGAAAAAAATGATTACCAAGGCAAATCCATGAGAGAATATTTTTATTTGTAATTTATTTTATAAGAAGATAAAAGGGTGGGGTTCATAAATAAGGCAGCAGATTCTTGCTTGAGAGAATAATAGAGTGTTGTCCACAACAAGACGAAAGTTGTTAGGCCACGGGTTCTTTATACCTTTTCTACACCTTTTGTTTTTTCTTCTTTAGTGTGATTTAAATACTTTTAAATAAAATAAAAAAAAGGAAAAATTATGCATAGAAAACGTTTGACTATAGCTACGGTTTAAGAAAAAATGTATTTTTTGGCTACAGTTTCCTTTATTCTTGTTATTCATCTGATTTGTATAAATTCAGAATTTGTACAATTCGATTCATGATTGTATAAATCCAGAATTTTGTATATGTTTAGTCTAGCTATGTGTGTATCATAATAAATTACCCTAGTTGTATATTGGTAAACGAAATATTTAAATGGGGTTCTGAAAAGTTCTTAAATGTATAAATACATAATTTATATATACTTACCTTATTTGTATATTCACAAACGAAATATACAAACGGGCATAAATATACAAACTACAGTCTCCATAACAAATGAAACTATAGTCTATAGCTACGGAGCGCAATTATTAACATTATAGTTATAGAGCCTTATTATGTTTATTGTGTTTGCTATTTCTAAATTTTTCTCCAAAAAAATAATAATTTTACTTGTGGGGCAGCAAAGCTTGGTACAGCCGGACCAATTTAAAGCCCAATTCTTTTGGCGGGGCAAGTCAGTAAATAAGGTCGGTCCAGCCCACTAAACAAACAAGGCCGTGGGCTTATATATGAAGAAGAAACAAGTTTTTGCACAGATTTGGGGTGACTTTAATTGCGAAAAACTATCCAATTACATAAATATTTATAAAAATTATATATTGTCTTACTAATTAATAATTTTATGATAAATTTTAAGTCAAATACACCTAGATACACGTATTTTTGCTTACCAAATATACTCTATAATACATATTTATAGGAAGGGAAGTGAACGAGAGAGTTTGTGTATCTCAAATACATACAAATCACATTAGATACATCTATCAAGAATGCCAAATACACCCTGAAATGTAGATACAAAGGGAAATATGAGAGAGGCGATTTAGATAGTCAAATACACGTGACTCCACTTCAATATAGTATATCTAAAATAAATTACACCTATTTTTGACCTTTTGTATCCGAAATACACGTATCTGGACATTGAAAATATATGTATTCGAAAGTTTGAATTTTGTTAAGATGTATATTATTAAAAACTCGCGTGAAAGAAAGTAATTTTCTCATAAACTATATTGAAATTAGTGTTGTTTGTCCCCTAATTTTTGTCTCCTCGTTTTATGTAGTACGACATTACTTGTTATGCCTTGTAAGACATAACTTGTAATATATTATGATACAGACATAAAAATTTATATTGAATGAAAAATTATTTTATTATTTGAATGTCTTGATATTTTTAGTCACCTATGTTTTACTTAAAATTTGGAAGGCCAAAAGTTAAAAGATCATCAGATCTGATCAAATATGTTTTGCACTTTTAGAATTTAAATAAGAGCAATAATACGTAAAATCTAATTTACATATTTGACATCAATCTTAAATGATAAAAATATTTGTATTTTTGTGACAATATAAAAGAAGCTCTGAAGGGCAAAAAAGTAATTAAAGAAAACATTTTATTATACTAGAACAAAAAAGGCTAATGTTATCCAATTTAAGAAGTTTTCCCAACCACAACACTTTGCTTAAAAGCTTGCGCATGTATATTTCTAAGAAAGGAAGAAGGCAAACAAAAAAAGGATAAAATTTTCATACTTTTCTGTCAAGCCAAGTTTATTGTTATGAAATAATGATTTAAGTAGTTATCTAGTATGATTGGAACGTCCATTTCTCTAACAAATATATTTTGTTCTATCATTTTTTAACTCGTCAAATTTTTAATTTGGCACATCTATTAAGAAAATATTAATTTTTATAATGAATTTATCATTTTACATTTATTAATTGATAGGATCTCAAATATCCTTATTCACTGTATTTTTTAAAGGAATTAACTTAATGTTAATAAATTGAGGATATACTAGGTAAAAAAAAAGACAAACTGCATAAATCCCGTTCAACAATAGTTGTCCATAATATTATTCTGGAATGTTCAACCATACTTGTTCACTTTATGAAATCAATGACTAATTTTACACTTAGTTCCTAATTTACCATTGTCATTAATTATAGTCGTTTCCCTATTACATTTTTTAAGACATGGTGTTTATTACACTCCTGTAAAGAGTGATATAGTAAAATTACTCTTCTATTTATAGTTTTTAAAAAAGTGTGTAAAGTCAATAGTGGACAACTATTGTTGGACGGAGGGTCGTTAACTTTGAATGCGACTCTACTTGGTACTTCCCCCGTCTCATATTAGTTGATCATCTTTTTAAAAATAATTGTCTCATATTATTCCCTCCGTTCATTTTTATTTATCACTTAATTTTAAAGTATATTTTCATTAGGGGTGCTCAAAATCGAACCGTGACCGATAAGTCAACCACAAATGTTTTACCCTCAACATTAATAGGAATTGTATGGTAAAATATTTATATCAATAATTATTTTTAATTTGTGTGCCAAGTCACACACTGACTAGCAAAAACGAATAGAGGGAATAGTTGTCCACTTTACTAAATTAAGAAAACACTAATTAAATTTTTTCTATATTAGCCATTGCAATTAATTCATTTTAATACTGTCCATATTTGTTTGTAAAATTCATAAGAAGTTTTTTAAGGATGAATTAGTAAAATATTTTTTTAATAAGTGTATAAAAAAAATGATCAACTAATGTGAGATGAAGAAAATATTTAATAGATAAAAGTGTAAAATAATAAAATCATTCATTTTATGTATATTTTTATGATTCATCATATAAAATAAGAAATGAACAACTAATATGAAACAACGAGTAATTCAAAATCTTCTATTACTGCGCAATAAAATCAACAGCGCAATAAAATCAACTAGTGGAACTTGTATGACAAATACTTACGTTTAAAGGCAATGAATGTTTTGCGTACACATTTACCTACGACAGAAATGTTCACATGCTTTATTTAATTATTACTCCATCCTTCTCGTTTTAAGTGACATTTTTTAAATTTCAAAATCCAAATAAATTTATATTTTGATCATAATTTTTTTATGTATTTTTTAAAAATTTTAAATTATCAATTATTGTGACTTATAATACTTTTTACTTAGTTTACAAATATATAAATTTCATTTCAAAAAAATTGAAGCTTTCATGCACAAATTTTTTATCAAACTTAAATTGTTTGACTCTCGAAAAATGAAAAGTGTCACATAAATTGGGACAAATGAAAGATTTTTATAGAAAAATTAGTTGAATTTCATTTTTAATGAGAGGTTTCAGATTGAGTGTCTCGACTCTTGAGTATGGAGTGTCTTTGTTACTGAGCACTTTACTGGTAATGTGAATTTTTTGGGGTGAATTCGAATTTAATCTAGCTTTCGTCTCGAATGAAAAAAATTTGAAAAAAGAAAAAGGATAAAAAAAAAGAAAAGGAAAAACCACTGAGATATGAAGTTGTTGGCGCGGCATTATCTAATCACAGAGGCATAGGTCCCCCACACACTGCAGTTACTTCTTCATTTCTTCTCTTTCTTTTCCTTTACTCACGCAGTTTTTTCCTTCAAAATGGCCAACTGATTCTTCAATCGACGCCATTGATAAAGGTACTTGTGCAAGCCGATTCTTATAATATCGTATATTTATGTGTTTGTTTAAGTGTGTCACAGAGACTGGAGTAAGTAATTGCTATGCATGAGATTTGTGAGATTAATTGCGCGATTGGTTCTTATTGTATGTGATCTGAGCCCTAATTTGTACGAATGTTCCATTGCAGAGCTTGAATTTCGCTATGAATTTTAAGTTTACGGTTACTCTGTTTGTTGCGGTTACTCTTCTGTTTGCTTGTTGTGAAGCTCTTAAGGTAAGTGATTACTACTTCATCTTCGTGCTCACTGTTTTTGTTGAAGCAAACGCCGATGCCTTTTGTCGATTGTATTTATGTTTTGTTCCTCTGGTGATAGGAAGGACAAAGTTGTGTAGCCAATGGAAGTTGTGATTCAGGGTTACATTGTGAGACTTGCCTCGCAAATGGCAATGTCCGTCCGCGTTGTACTCGACTTCAACCGGTCAATCCTCTTTCGAAGGTGCATTTTCCTACAGTTTGTGATTTTTTTCAGATTACTTGTATTGTAGGTAGATGTATACGCCCCTGGATTTTCTATATATGTCATATTTGCTAGCGGCCTGATGTGTTGTTGAAGCTAAACTGTTAAATGTTTTAATAATCGTAGGTGAAAGGATTGCCGTTTAATCGGTACTCCTGGCTGACGACTCACAATTCTTTTGCCAAATTGAAAGCGAAGTCCGGGACAGGAGGTGTAATATTAGCTCCAATGAATCAGCAGGACACCATCACTGAACAGCTAAATGTAAGTTTACACCTCCGTGATCTCTTTCTTCAACACTTCAAAAATATAGAGATCACAAGCGTTTAGCTCTTTTTCCTATGATGCCAAAACCAAGTACTAAAAAACAAAGGAGGATGTCAAACAGCATTCAAACAAAAGGATGTTAGTTAATCTATTGGGCGAAACAGTCCTTTGAATCAATTATGAGAAACTGTGAACTGGATTGAGAATTATATATTACTCCTATTCTATATGAAAGTTCATGGTATTACTATTACTGTTATTGTTATTACCTTTATTATTTTATATTACTTTAATGTCTATGCCTGGCACATGGAGAAGGTTTAAAGTTGAGTTAGTCAGCCTTGTAGTTGTTAGCTGTTGCTGACTCTTGTTGATTGTTGTGTTTCTATGCACTTTAGTACGTGGACTTTATTATAATATGCAACGTTAGGTATGGGCTAGAAGTGTGTCGGATTTGAAGGAATGTCAGCAGATAGATTCCTTTTCTGTGTATAGTTTATTAGTTTATGGTTTATTATATCAGACTTTATGAATTATTATTAGCAGCAATTGCTAATATTTTAAGTAGTTTTTGGCCCTCCAGACTACTGTTTTGTTTTGCAAAGGATTAATCTGTGACCTGTTTCTGCAATCTGGTAAAAATTGCGTTGGAAAGCTTCATTTTCTGATAATGGGGGTGAGGGTTCTCTTTAAGTTAAAGTAGTTGGAATTGCTCCAGAAGAAATCTGATGGCTTAATGCAGCAGACAAGTGTCATTATTTCAATTAAAGTGCCAGGGTTTAAGGGTTGATCTTTTAGCTTCTGAGTTCTGGCTGGACTTGTATTTACTCCAGCAGAGCTATCAACTAGGTTTTCTTGGCCCATAAATATTTTTCAGAACACCCTTAGTCCCTAAATTAATACTATTCAAAACCATTTATCTAGGGATGAATATGAATAGGATACTGAATAATTTTTACTTTACCTATACACACTGTGGGTACTAAACTATCAATCCTCATCTTACCCCATACCTGCATAGTAGTACTATAACTTTCATCCTTACCTTTCATATTATGATTTTACCTACCAATTATCTGTAATGTGTATAGGATGAAAGATATATGTTCATGTCAATAAGCCACTAGGATTTTACATACTTTAGAACCATCAACATTTGAATCTTTTGATATAATCTTCACCTATTTCGGGTACCTGGTACTACGATTTTAACATTTAGGGTGTGTTTGGCATGAAGTAAAAAAGGTATTTTTCTTACTTATTTCCTTGTGTTTGGTAGGTAAATAAAAAGTATTTTCCCAAGCATTGTTTATAATCTAGACAAACAATACAATGAATGAGTTAGGACATAGGGGTAAGGGTGTGGTGGGGATGGCTTACTTACACTATCCTTTGAAGTAGAATTGGTGCTAATGTCTAATTAAGGATATAATAAAGACTGCCATCCCTTCCTTTTCCAACACTTAAAAGATTGATTACAGGGGTTTGTGTATCTCAAACTATTCCACTGATTTTTATTGTACACGTACGCCACTAAACTAGCAAGTGTTGTCTTGTCCAATTAGGTGAGCTGAGACTCAGATATTCATCTCCTTGAGGTTAACCATCACTAGGACATTGAGGAATACAAGCACCTTAAGTTTGCAACTATGAGAACCTATAGGAAAAAGAGATGAAACAAACTCTTGAGTTAAGCTTTCATACTGTAAGCCTCTGGGCTAGGAAAGGACTCTAAAAAACCTTTCTGCGTCATAGTATATTTATTTTAACCTTTCTCTTGACTTGATTCTTAGTGTTAGATGACCTGTATGAACGCTAAAAGTATCATAACATTTTGGAGAAATTGGTTTTCACAGAGAAAAGGTAAAACACCAGTCAATTCCGCAATACCTACTTTTTATTATTCTCTGTTTCCCTATTAAAATGTTCGGAAATTGCGATTTAGGAAGACATGAACTGCCAGCTCTGACAGGTTTTCAAATTACTTGTATATATGGATACTGATGAGCTTTTTGACATGAATTGGCGCAGAATGGTGTAAGAGGTTTAATGCTTGATATGTATGACTTCGACAATGACATCTGGCTATGTCACTCATTTGGAGCAAAATGTTACAATTATACAGCTTTTGTAAGTTTTCATGAACCAGTGATGTAATACTTAATAACTTCGACACTTTGGCATGTTTACAGGTTTGCAGATGTTCATTGTTTTGGCATATGAGGCATTCTCATCCTTAGCAGTTTTAGGGAAAAGAGGATATAATTCATTTTTGTCCCTGTTTTACTTGTCATTACAGTAATAAATTTGATGGAAAATGGAAAAAAATTGACTATTTTCTCATTGGTTTACAACATTTCTAGATTCTTATCTCTTAAAGTTACTTTCTTTTGAAACTGACGTGGAATTTTTCTGTCAGCAAACTGCAGTCAATGTCTTGAGGGAGATAGGAGTGTTTCTTGAAGCAAACCCATCAGAAATTGTTACAATTATAATTGAGGATTATGTTACATCGCCGAATGGCCTAAACAAGGTGTTTGATGCGGCTGGGGTTAGAAAATTCTGGTTTCCAGTTTCTCGGATGCCTAAAACTGGTGGAGAATGGCCAACTGTAGATGATATGGTTCAGCACAATCAGCGATTGGTTGTCTTCACATCTAAGTCTGCCAAAGAATCTTCAGAAGGCATTGCCTATGAGTGGAGATACTTGGTAGAAAACCAATGTGAGTTCATCTTTAGCTTATCTCTAAAATCAAATTTTTAGGTCTCTTAAAATTCCTTTGGAGGAAAATGATAAAACATACTCTCAAATACAAGGGCTTCGGATTTGCAGATGGAAATGGTGGCATGAAACCTGGTTCTTGTCCAAATCGTGCAGAATCATCTTCTATGAACACTAAGTCAAAGTCGTTAGTCCTTATGAACTACTTTACTGATGCCCCAGATTTTGCTCAAGCTTGCAAGCATAATTCAGCCCCACTCATTGACATGATGAACACATGCCATGAAGCTGCTGGTAAAAGGTGGCCTAACTTCATTGCTGTTGATTTTTACAGGGTATGCTTTTTGTTTGAACTGACTATCTATGAAATGAGTCTTTAATAAGATTTGCTTCCCTCTTCGACTAATTTTACTGATTGTGGACTTTGCAGAGAAGTGATGGAGGTGGAGCCCCTGAGGCTGTAGACTTGGCAAATGGACATCTAGTATGCGGGTGTGCAAACATTGCTTCCTGCAAGGTACAAATGAGCTACTTATTAAACTTTGTTTCCACTAGTCCACTTTGAGGCCATAAATAGTATTTTTTAGGATTCAAAACATGCAACTTTGTGACATTTTGGGTGCCTTTAATTCTATATGTAGGAGAATATGACTTTTGGAGCATGTGATCTGCCTGAACCAAGCATTTCTCCAAAAACACCAGCTGCTGCAGCTAAAAATGAAACAAGCTTTTCAAATTTGAATTTCCAACCAAAGCTGCAATGGTTGTTGGGAACAACATTAGTATCTTTTTTCTTATTGTAATTGAGGACAACAGCCTACACAAGTTCATATTTGCTTCACAAGGATTAAGGATTAGATTTTACTGAAAGCATAGTAGGTGATTATGACTACAACCAGACAAGCTAATTAGCAATAGTTAATCTTCTGACGTACTTATGGATTTTAGAAACTTGGAGCTAAGGAGTCTGAATGGTGTGTGGATCAATTGTAAAGCTGATGTGAAGTTAGTTTAGCTTATATTGCCACAGGTACTTGTATATGGAAAGAACTTGGTGAAATGTAACTGATTCTGGTATGGTCTATTCTCTTTGAACTTTTTATTTGTTCCTTTTATTTGATATGTTATTTTATTCTTCACTATTATTCTTATTTGTTCCAAATTTGTGGCATCCTTGACTTGTAAGTATGGGATAGTTTGAAGTTTACAGATATTGGAAAATTTGAGAAAGTAACAGGAATCTTGTTCACGTTGCTTGCACGTAACATGAACATGTTGTGGAATTTGAATATACCTGATTAGCGTAAGACGTCATGAGCACCAAACAAGAAGATGGGGAAATAATAGCAACCTATCCCATCCCACACATGACTGATGATGCCCAATTTGAGAATTTATTAGATTTAGTCCAGACAAAAGAGTATTCAACGTTAGGCCCATGTCTTTGTTAGGTTTATGAATGGAAAAGAAAACTCATTATTTGAAGTTTCTTACTCAACAACAAAAGTGAAAGTGAAGACAAAAAATAAACTGCTAACCCTTCAACCAGCCACTCATCCTGTTATGGGGCTAATGTCACCCTTCATAATTAGACTAATGCAAGAATGAAATTGCACAAGTCTGGACGATATGTTGGTGAAACTTGTAGAATGTGTTTGAAATTATTCTATCAGAGGATTTCCTACGAATAATTACTCTGAATTCCACAATATTCTTCTATATTTTCACATCCGAAGTGGGCTGAAGCATCCATTAAATGAGGAGCTAACAGTTTAAACATGGTCCAAATATAGAAGATCTACTAGGCCCATTAAAATACGCAAAACCAAAGTATGGGCCAAGAGTACAGGCCTCACAAAAATCCTAAGATTCTAGTCAATAACCAATTTTAATTGATAAATTAGATATTTTGAAATATATTTCCTTCCCCAATTTGATAAGAATAAAATGTGACTAATACTAATAATATTTCGTTTAGCTTTACTAGTACTAGATAATTTTTTAAATAAATAACAATAAAAAATTAACTGATTTAGAGTCCATTTGGCTTAACTTAAAAAAAAAAAACAGCTTCCTAAAAAATCAAACTTAATTAACTTTAAGTTAAAAAATGACCAACTTTTAACTTTTTTTAAGTCATTTTTGAAAACTTATTTTAAGTTATTTTTAGCTTTGTCAAACACTCCCAAAAGCTAAAAATGACTTAAAATTATGTTTGACCAACTTTTAGGTCAATCCAAATTGACTTTTAGATAAAAAATCAATCAAATTGATCTCTATGAGAACAAACACGACAAATAATTTATGTGCAAGTAACACTACAAATAAAAAGTATTCACTCATATCGGATATTTATATCAAAGTAATAATGTATTTAACTTAATTACAGACTTGTACGTAGTATGAATGAATATGAAAGGTAGGTAAACTCCAAAATGCTAACAAGCTACTTGTATTTAGTTACTCCCTCCGTCCACAATTGTTTGTCAGGGTAAGGTCATGCACATCTCTCAAGGAAAATTTAATACAAGGTGTAATTTGACTAATATAACCCTACTATATCTAGAATACCAGAAGTCTACATAACTTTTCAATTGAACTACACAATCATTAAGGGCAGAATTGGAAAAAAGTGACTAATTATTTCTTGATTGTTTAAATTGATAATTAATCTTGGACATCTATTTTTAGTATACCTGCCAAACAATTGTGGACGGAGGGAGTAGTAAAGTAAAGTAAAAAGGTTATCCTTAAAGGAATAGTAGAATACAAAAGATTTAGTGGCTCAAGGCACCGCCATTGGCTATAATCTCACGAATTTCTAAGTTTAATGTCTTAATGATATGTATTACCTGCAGGAAACTAAATTTAACCCTCTGCAGCAATTAATTAATCCTGAAAAAGTTAATTATGTAGTAAGATACTATTAAGATGATCAGAGTTTGTAGGTTGGTAGGGTGAAAATATTATCCTGTGAGGAGAATCTGTTGCATGCGTCGTGACATAATTAAAAGAATATTCCTATTTTTATTCTAAACTATACTTTACTTTCATATCTTTATCTTGATAATTAAATTATATACAAGTTACATCTTAAAAAAATACATTTGATGAAGAAAGAGAGGAATAATAAAAGTAAGGAAAGGACTATGTGTATATATATAAAAAAAAATAAGTGTGGTGAATGACTCGATATTGACTTTAGTTAGCATTATTGTTCACACATAGGTAATAAAGTAATAGCAAAATTCTAATCGAACAATAGTATCTACTGGAGTAGTTATTAACTCAATATAAAGTTATTACTTGATGAGGACATAAACTACATTATTTACTTGATTATAAAAGGATAAATTTTTAATCTTGACCATTCAACATGCATGTTGTTTAGCAGAGACGTAGTTATTAAAGGTGATTTTTTCTCTTATATATGTAAATGTTTGAACTTACACAACAACTACATGCGCATCTTACTTTATGTTGTTGCCAACACTTTTCTTGGAGGAGTGGGATTTTTTTTTTAATGATTTTTATTTCTACGCGATCATCAATAATTTATATACTATTATAAAGTGAAATTAATAATCTGAAAAATAAAATACTTCACGGCTATAGTGAGATAAAGTACACGAATAAAGTAAAAGTTTCTTGCACTACTATGAGTGTATGTTAAATATAATTTGGTTTAGCATGAGGGGAATCATAAAACTCTAAGGAATTTAACTCACTAATGTATCTTAATAGAAAAAGTGACCAAGTTTCACAAGAAGACAAATATTGTTTATTCAACCCCTTTTGCCACACAATTTTATAATTTCAATGTACATACATCGGAATAAACATGTCATAGCTCCACAATTAATAGTATTCTAAAACATATTGATTGGACAAAAAATCAATATTATCCATTAGTATACTAAAATTGTTGAATTGGTTTACAATTACGTCACAAAGTGGGAATTACAGTTGCCCACACAAATTCATAGTGGAGAAAGAATGTCTACTACATATACTTTTCTCAATTTATTCGAAAATTGAATACTCAATTCTATCTAATCCAAAAGATATCTAGTTTATACTCCCTAAGTCCATTTTACTCTATCAAACAATAATTATTTACTATTGACTTGATACATGAATTAAAAAGCAGTAGATGATATGGGTAATTTTACCAAATCACCCTTATTAATTATAAGTCATCAAACATTCAAATGAATAGTACTCCCTCTGTCCCTAATTACTTGTCTACTTTTGAATTGACACACCTATTAAAAAAACAATTATCGACATAGAGAGTTTACCATTTTACCCCTATTAATTAATAAGTGGATGAATTAAAAATTTAAGATTTTCAAAAAGTTCTACCTTTTTCAAAGTAATTAATTGAGGGTATAATAGGTAAAAGTTTTTTGTCCTTTCTTGATTTATCAAAATGGACAAGTAATTAGGGACAATTATAAAAGAAAAAGTTGACAAGTAATTAGGGACAGAGGGAGTACTTAATAGCAAGGGTAAAATAAACTCAACACAGTAAATTATTCATTGGTTTTATAAACTGAACAAGTATTTTTGAACATCCCAAGATAGTAGAATGGACAAGTAAAGATTAACGGAGGGGAGCATTACTCGTCCAAATTGACTATTTAAAAACCAAATAAATAGAATGATAATTAATTTACTATAGCATCTTTTGAATATATTAAAGAAATTCATTGCTTTGAAAAATACATTAGGAAATGACCGTATAAAGTTAATAATGAGAGTAAATTAATTATGAATTAAGTGATAAATTATCATTTGAGTAAATAATTAATTATAAAAATCTATTTTTAGTGTAGCAAACATGTATAAGTGAACGGAGGAAATATATATTATGGGTATTTTGTTACTGTTATCAGTAGCATGTTGGGTTTAATTATATGCTTGCTTTTAGGGCGATTGATTTTGAGAAAGTTGAATTTATAGAGTATAGTATTATATTGTCAACTTGTAAATGAAGATTTTAGGAATTCATGACATTAGATTGCTTAGCCAGTAAAGTTATCCCCACTTTTTACGGAGCACAAATTTTCACACTAAAATTATAGTGTTTGCACAGATTCTTTAGATAGGTTTGACCGCATGGCTTGCCCTAGTTTCAACACTTTTTAACTTTAATATCAAATTCGATTAATTTTGATTCGTATTTGAAATATTTTACTTTAAAAAATAAAATGTTTTATAGTTTAATTTTTAATATTTAAGTCTTATTATTGATTAAAGATGAAGCGTTATTTATCATTTCGACTGTACTAACTTTCTCGGTTGAAATATGTTGTTCGGATAAGAACTCCTCTTTGTCTGATTAGAATTATTTTAATCAAATATCTTTTAATAATTTGATTTTGTAGTGGAGAAAAATAATTTTAATAGTCTAAAGTAAAACAAGCAAACAAAAGTTGCAATAAAGTTAAACGTCACAATACTGATTGAGGCAAAGGGCAACCACATCAGATTTGAGATATTGAATTTAACAACAACAAAAAAGATTTTAAGATTTATATGAAACGTGGCAGATAATTAGATGGAACACGTGGACACTCAATAATTTAGAATAATTATAGTAATAATAACCAAAAATAAAATAAAAATTTGGACCACCACCACCAAAGATTGCAAAACGTAGATCGAATCACAAAGACAACTAGGCTTTGCCTCTTTTTCACTCTAAAAAAAACACAATTATCTTTATATTTTGACTCTCTTCTCAATTACCCAATAGAATATCATTCTTAAAACAAAGTGACTCGGAAGCTTCCCTAAAATTCAATCTTTCACAACCACTATCCATCCCCTCCATATCCCCCACCCCACCTTGCAAGACAAAGAATGTATCATAATCATTTATGTTTCCATCCCTCTATCGATGTTGGACTTCTTAATAAATTTACTTTGAATTAAACAAGACTAATAACTATTGAATGAAAGAGAATTGTTACACTCTGACGTTGTTCTATTGTAATGATGATGCATGCATACTTGGTTGATGAAATAGATATACTTAAGAATTTGTTATCATCATCATATAA